GGGCAAGTTGCTTTATAGTACCTAGGCAACCCTGACAAAAGTTGCCATAAATTAGAACTGACTTAACATTACAGTACTACTACTACAGGTTGTGGAAGGCAAAGACAATAGTTATACGTTTTCAGTTGTGCATGACTTCATGGAAATTTAAATTTAAATTTTAAATTCAGATTAAAAACTTGACTCTTTCAGCAGGCCTTCCCTCCTGTCAATACTTGACTTTATTTTTACTATAATTTTCTGTTTTCCCATCTTGAGCACTACTAAGCATTACTAATTACTATTGTTTAGAAGTGTTTTTAATTGTTTAACTGTTTTAATTTATAATGTTTGATGGAACCCCCCTGGAGTAGACTTTGTCTAAAAGGGCGGGATAGAAATCTAATAAATAAATAAATAAATAAATAAAATTGCTGGACTAACATGACCTTCAGAACAAATATTACTGGAGTATCACTGCTCTTGAAATATATCTGAAAATATGAGCAGTGATGCAGAGAATCTCTCTGTGGCCCCTCTTTTCTACACTGCTGAGACTGGACTATGTGATACTTAGTGCAGACTTAATGAGAAAATTATGGGAGGCTTGTCAACTTAATTTGCACTTCAGACGTAGAATGAATTGGGAATAAAGCCAGTATACTTTTTAATGGCTCCATTTGAGCACTAATAAGATAGTATGGCTCTATTATAAAATCAGGTAATTTTTTTCTTGTTAGTGAACATGATTGCCCCTTCTTGGATGCACACCTTAATGGGGTGTAGGGATTTAAGTGTGTAAGTGAAGCTGATAGCAATGCTGTCAAGAGGCCAGGCTCTATTATGAGGCTAGACTCCTAGCAGGGTTACCCAAGGTGGAATGGTCTTAGCTGAGAAACAAGACTAAGATGCATTTCTCTTCAAGGTGCAGCTATTGGGCAGCAGCAGTAGCTGAAGGTGATACTGGCAGAGGAAGCAACAGTGGTGACATTCAAGCTAATTTTTGTTTGTACTGCACAGGAGGTGGGAATAGCAAATCCATGCTGAACTTTATGTTCCATGAAAACCTTAAGATGAAACTATCTAAAGTGAAACAAGAGTGCTGGAAGATGTGACTCTCAGGTCAGAAAACAGTCAACTACTGGGGAAGAGCAAAATACAAATTTAGCTCTTTTTTTCATTAAGCTAAATTTGTCTGCTTTGCTTTGCTACATTAAAGGGATTGTTTGAATTCTTTTAAAGATTGAAGAATGTTTCTAAAATGTAGGTTTTTTGTTAACCACCCTGAACGTATTTGATCTCTACTCATTCCAGAATCTGTATGGGGCGGGGCTCATTTATACTAGGATGGGAGCACATTCAGAAATACTAGGGTCTCCAAATTGGGTAGGAAATAATTCTGCCTAACATTTGGAAAGCTGCTGCAGTCAGAGTTCACAATCATGGGCTAGATGAAAGAAATGGCCCAAAGGACTGTAAGCAGCTTCTTGTGCTTGACAGAAATGTTTTATTATGCAGACTCTTATAGCTTGTTGACGTAAACGTATTGTAGAAAAATTACAGTGCAGATACTCTGTTCCTTTTTCAACAGCTTATGATAAAAGCTATTATTCAGCCTGCATTTTGTTCAGTATCCTAAATTGTTCCTTTGAAGAAAATATTCTGTATAGTATTCTATTTGCATGCCAAATACATTTTGAATGTTGCCTGTTCTTTGTAAGGTGGTGCAAGTTTATCCTTTCACGATCCTTTAGAAATATTTTGAGTGTGAACCTGAATAACTTGAAATTTCTCTAGAGATATCTATTATTGATGGAGCCTTATCCTTTTCTGTCTTGTCAGAGCTTGACAGGAAATGCCTAAATTGGTTCTGTCTCTCTGATCAGGGAAAACAATGAATTTGATTGTGGCTTTATCAACTCTAGTTAAGAGACAGTCAACTTATTTGGCATTTACAGTTGTCATTTTATCATACTTTTGTGGAATGCTGTGTTTTCAACTGGGTGGGTGGGTGAGGAAAACTTCATCATACACCTGGTACATGTGGCAAAACATTGATCTCCGACTCATCATAATGTTGAATGAAGCCAGCTCAAATAACCTGTTAATAGAAGAAAGTGGACGTTGATCAAAGATGAGGAGTTTAATTCTCTAATGTATAATTCTCTCACTTCACTTAACAATGTTTAGCTGCAATCTCTCCACTCTGTGGCACCTTGTCAGTTAGCTGCAGTTAGCCACTACAAATTACACAGACTACACAAACACCAGCAGGATTCTATCTATATATCTGTTTCGAGTCCATATCCTATGTATTGGTGTGCTTAAATGGTAGCCCTGTGCAACTATTCACCTGTGCCATATTCATACAGGTCTGAAGAGGGTCTTGTGGTCTAGTTTGGTTCAGTACTGGTGTGGGACCTAATGAGGAACCCAGCTGTATCACATTGATAATTCTTCTAAAGAACATGTCTGTGTTTTGTGAATACTTCATGACATCAAGATGAGCTCTGCCCAATCAGTACTCACTATATTGTTTAGGTCAGAAACCCAGTATGGTGTAGTGAACAGAGTGATGAGTTAGGATGTAGGAATTCTGTGCTTGTATTCCTGATCAGCCATAGAAACTAACCGTGTATATGTGGAAGTGGTAAAGCCTCTTCTCAAAAATATCAATTACTTTGAAAGCCCTATTAGGGTCTCTATAAGTCAGTTCCAGTTTGATGGCGCATAGCAACATTATTTAGTAGTTGGTTGTTTAACTAGGGGTGGGGAGTTTTGAGGCATATGTGACCCATTAAGGGCATTTTGGAAGGTCCCTGACTAGAACTGACCGCCAATCCCACCTGTACTAGAAAAACATTGCAAATAGAAATATACCTTTTTTTGTTCATGGAAGCTTTTGAATTTGGGAGTGTTGCAGCTCCCAACACACATGCAAAAATCAAAACCTAAGGTCTCCACTAAAAATAAAAACCTTATCATGATCATGTCTGATTCTGATTTTTCAGCCTGGTACAGGTGGGGTTGGTCCACAGTTCTAGCAAAATTACCCACTCCTTTGGTTTCAATTAAACAATTGTTACCCATCAATCTAACCATTAAGAAGAAAATTGATGAAAGCTGCAAGATGTAAGGACTAGTAGGTTTTTTTGAGCGGTACCCTATACAGATTCTTATGAGCAGACTGACAGTCAGTCCACTTATGCACTTCGTCACCCATTTCCTTCTTCATTATCCTTAATGTCCATTGCTGTAGTGAGAAACTTGCTAAGGTGCACATGCGTATACTGAAAGTATTCTCAGAATTTAGGTTTTTTGAGTAAAACTATTGGAATTCTAGCTGGAGGAATTCCTGGTAGTTGTAGGGGGGGGGAGAATCAAGTTCCATGGCTACAGATTACAGCAGACCTGGGCAAAATGTGGCCCGAGGGCCCCATACGGCCTGCAAGCTGCTCCTCTCCGGCCCACTGGTCGTCGCTCCAGTCTGGTGTTAAAGCACTTGTTCAAGCCCAAGACAGACTGGATTTCTCTCGCTGAACAAGTTGAACATCAAAACCATTTATAGCTTTTTGTCTAAAGTTAATCAGTTGTTTATCTTTTATTTTTAAGTAAAGTTGGTTTGGCCCCCAAACACAGTTCAGATTTTTCATGTGGCCCCCTATAGAAATTAATTGCCCACCCCTGGGTTACAGGGTGGGGGGCTTATGTCAGGCATCAGACCTGGGCATATTCTAGTCACCAGAGCAGCTTCCTTTTCTAAAAGACACCTAGACCAGAGCCTGGCCTATCCTAGGCCATGAAGCCATCCAGCTCAGCCTTTAGCCAGGTGAACACAATTTAGCTGTCTGCAAGGTAGAACTCCCAGAATTTAGAATTTTAGGATTTATAGTCCAAAAAACCTAAATGGCACATGCCTAATTGCCACTATTCTTAAATGACTGGGCATCAGAAATTATAGCTGATCTTCCACAGAAAAGATCCATCTGTAAAGCCTGAGCTACTTTCTGGCTACCATTGTCATGTGTACCACGCCCATGAGGAACTGCACCATAAAAGTCTTGTTGATCATGTAATAGAGTTCATTTCAGACAAATTCTGAATGAAATATTTCTGGATCAGATAGTTCTTCCAAAGCCATCACCTGTGTCATCTCCAAGGGCCCCCCTCTCTTTTTCATGGGGCAACATCTAGAACAGGCTTATCCAACCCACGGCCCGAGGGCCGCATGTGGCCCAGGTCAGCTCATAATGTGGCCCAGTGCAATTTTTTATTTTGAAAGAAATTCCAAAGTTTCAAGTTACACTGCCGGCGCTTGCGGCCGGAATGTGGCTGGGGCATGTCACAACAGTAGAGGGGGAGAGAGGGAAGGAAGGAAGGAATGGGAGGGTAGGGGACAGGGGAGCTGGATGACTGCATTGCGTCATCCCCGTCAATAGGTGGACCCCCTCCTGGTCCCATAAAGCCACCGGAGTCGAAGCTGGCAACCTCTGCTGTCTGAGATCGCAGCTGCCGGTAAGCGCGCTTGGAACGGGGCTGCGGAGGACAGCTAGGGCTGCCCCCCCCCATGCGGCCCAAACCCAATGTATGTGCAGCCCAAACCAAATTTTCATCTTCTAATGTGGCCCAGGGAAGGTGAAAGGTTGGACACCCCTGATCTAGGCAAAGGATATGCTTCTTTTCATTTGGAGTTTTGCTGGTGATATAAGGGATATAAGGATCCCAGCTTAATGAAAGAGTGTTTTCATCATTTGTTGGGTCTGGAACATCTGAAACCAGATAGGTGTTGCCAGTCAATACAGAGCAGAAGTAGGCAACCTCAACATGCCCATCCCTGAAACTTGGAGGGCTACACTTGCTTCTGCACCCAAAATTCAAAGTACGTAATCCTTACAAAAACCTAGAGAATGCTGATGAAATGCTTTCCACCTTCCACTGGCAAGGAAAATATTGTGTGCTGCATGTAGGATTCCTACATAGGTTTTGCATTTGGGTTGCTAAAACTGTTCTGTATTTTGCAGGAAACAGCATACTACACACAGCAGCTGACAGTGTGACCAGTGCAGTACAGAAGGCAAGTCAGGCGTTGAATGAACGTGGTGAAAGATTAGGTCGAGCAGAAGAAAAGACAGAAGACATGAAGAACAGTGCTCAGCAGTTTGCAGAAACTGCACATAAGGTACGACAGTAATAAAGCACAGCTTAAATAGAGAAAAAGTCACCTCCTTCTGACGGTAACCTTTGTGAAAAGTAGGTGGCTAGGAATCTTTGATATTAAAGTGGTGCATTATTTCCATGTATTGGTTTCTACAGTACTCTGATGGCATATTTCAAAACTTTAAAGCTGTTGCTTACATTGCATATTATAACAAAAATCTGTTTCTAGCCGTGGTTACAAATATTAAATATTTTCTTATATTTAAAAACAAGATGGGTGCTTGTTCCTTTTTAAAGAATACAGTGTTGGATCTAGGTCAAGGTTTCTAAGAATTTATTTTTCTTTATGAAAACAACAAACACTCTTGTGGCATCTTAAAGCCTTCCATGAAGACTACAAAATTATTACAGCATTCAGTTGTGTAGATTACCACCGGAAGGCACATATCCTAATGAATTTAGATTTGTTAGTCTTTAAGTTGTCATAAGACATTATTTTACTACAACAGACAAACACAACAAGACCTCCGGAAATTGCTTTATATGAGTAAATTTGATCTAACAAAAGAATCTTTGTCTTCAGATTCTGTCATGGGACTCATGGTTGCAACTGTATACCCTTTTATTTGATCATATAAAACCTTTCCTTAGAGCAGTTACAATTTTTTTTAATATACAGGCAACCATGTTTTTAATATCCCAAACTTGCCCCACAAAGCCAGCTTCTTCTGAACAGCAGTCACTGTTCTTTTACATTCATGTCTGCACTTCTTGATGGTCGCAACCAAATGGCTGACTTGAGTTTCGTGCATGCCCCCACAGCCATGTTTTCAGTTCATTTCAATTTACTTATGTATAGTTCCCAGAACATAATAAAGCCACGTTTGCTTGGAAATAAATCCATGCAGATGAACAATCAAGCTTTTGCTATTAGTGTGGTTAAAACAAGATTCTTGAAGTTGGAATGGTTTCAGGAAAAAGGACGATGAAAGTCCTCTCAATACAAAATAATAAAGCCATGGTGTTATTTTTATCGTATAATTAAAATGCTCCTTCCTTCTCCTACTAGATTGTGGCATGCATGTAGGAAGAAAACATTCAAAAACCTGTTCAAAAACTTCTTTTTTTGAGGCATTTTTCAACCATTGTATGCTAAAGTTGGCAGAAATTTCCTGAAGCCTAGTTTTATTCTTTTATCTTTGTATTTTTCTGTAATTGGTTATTAAGAACTGCATTCTGATGAGAATGATTGGATTTTTGTGTTGCTGTTCACAACTGCAAAGGGAAATCAGAGTAATTATTTTTGGCTTATATTCATTTCTGAGCACTTTGAAATGACTTTACAGAGTCATTGTTACAGAAGCCAATTATTTACTGTATACAAATTCCTGGTTTGTATGAAATGCATGAGATACTTAATTTGTGAAGTGTTTGGTATGTGAAAAAAATGTCCAGCCTTAGCAAAAACTCCAGTTATTATGTCTGTTAACTTTTTAAAAGGAAAGGATGTAAGTAAAAATTCATGTTTTAGCATTTTCTTTTTAATCTCACAGTCCACTCCATCTCACTGTCCACTGAGAGACCTCAGTTAGAAAAATGACACAAATACTATGAAATTTCTTCTACTTCTGAAATTACTGTTGAACTATTGTGACTAAACATGGACCTTGTTTTTACTGAGTAACACATGCCAAGTTAATTTCTTTAGTAAGCAGCGATGTGTTGAGAGACGCTTGCTGGCAGCTTTCAATAATAGACTTTCCCATGTGTGTCCCAAAATAGCCAGATGAAAACTTGCCAATATGACTGAGAGCTGATAATGGAAAGCCGCAGCTCTTCACTTGCTGCCTATCCCTGCATTTCAAAAAAAGGGGGGGGGGAGTTTTGAGTAGAAGTGAAGAAAATAATAATAACCTTTGAACTCCAAAGCTTAAATGGACTCAATGGATCATTGAGTCCAGCCCCTGTCAAGGAGACATAATGGGGAATTGAACTCCCAACCTCTGGCTCTGCAGCCAGAGGTCCAAGTCATTGGACCTAAGTCTACTGCAAAGGAATTCAGCAGGGCTCAGGTTCATTTCCTGAAGTCTCCAAGTTGTTATCTACTATATAATACTGAGCCAGGTGACCAAATGTGTAAGACAATTTTGACAATCATGGGAATCCAACATGTTCCAGGCCTGGTCTTGAGGCCAAATACTAAGCCTGGATCCAAGTTGAGTAAAGATAGCATAATCAGACAGTAGAAACTGGCAAATCATGAGAAGGGCCTTATTCATGCATCCTCCTCCCCTTGCACACAGGGCGTGTTCCCCCCCCCNCCCCCCCCCCGTAAGAATCAAACCATAGTTGGAAAAGCTGTGGTTTGATCAAACTTTCCAAACTAGGATTGTAAGCCAAGGTTTTGATACTGGCTTGCAACCCTGGTTTGAAGGAATCACACTACAGTTCTTTGCTTCTGGGAAAGTTTATTTCTTCTCTTTATTCTGCGATTTCTTTACAACAGGGGTGGGCAACTTTTAGCCCTCTGCATGTTTTGGACTTCAGCTTCCAGGAGGCGCTAGAGATGTAAAATTTTCATTTTCCCCCTGAAAAAACAGCGAAAAAAAAACATGGTTTCTTTTTCTGGAAAAAATGGAAACTTGGAAATTTTACAATTCTAGGAGGTACAAGTGGTAGACCAGTAGTAATAGCTTGTATTAATTGCAGTCTACAACATTTGGAGAGCCAAAGATGTCACTGGAAGCAACAATAACAGTAGGAGTAACCTTTCCCAAAGTAATAATAGTTCCCCACAGTCCAGTTTTAGAATAATTAATCTTTGCATGTAATCATAATATCATTTAGTGTACGTATATAGATTTAAAACATGATTTTACAGGATTGTTTTGATTCAGATTCGAGATGCATTGAATAAGAGTGAAAGCAACTTGTGGCTTTTCTGTATTGATGGAATGGTCACTAAATACTGCAAGCAGTATACACTCAAACTGGAGGAAATTTTAATTTGTATTTCAACACACTAAACACATTTGCTGGGTTGGGGATGGTTGTAGCATTTCCCTAAGACTAGACCATCAATGTCTGTTTATAATCACAAATAAATGACACCTCTTTTTCTCTTTTCTCCTCTAGCTTGCAATGAAGCACAAGTGCTGAAAATGTGCAAAGTAGAGATCCTTCCAAGAGGAACTGAAAAGCTAGCTTCATTAGTTTTTACTGGAGATACAACCTCATGTCTGCTTTTTCCTACAATTCAGTGAAACCCAGTTATTTCAATTACAATGCAGGAATAAGGTGCATTCCTACCTTTTATACTGCTAAGCCATTCTGCAATATCACCATTAAAAATATATATATATTTAAAATAAGAGGTGGTGTGAACATGGAAATTGGACCAAAGGACATACTAAAGTGCATTGATCTGCAGCATCTCACTGATCTCAGTACTAAGGAAGGAGAAATAAATTTATTTGCAAGAAACATTGCCAAATAAAAATGAAATCCAAGCAGCTGTTTTATAATTGTCTCCTAGAACCATTTTCAGAGTTACACGGTTCATGCCTGCTGACACTGAGCAAAAGAGAATGATTTGCTATGAAAAACAACCTGGCTTCTCATTTCTGCCATTTTTAGTAAACATGTTTTGCATCTGCCATCACCAGCTTGCTGTACAAATCTGAATTTGAGATGTCACCTGCTGTCAATACTAAGTTTTCAAAAGAACTTTCTTTTCTTTCCCCCCTTTTTATATTATTTGGACTATAGAAAAATATCACCAGGAGTTTATACTTGAGATCTCAAGATATGAAAGTCTTATGATCAAATCTCTTAACTGCTTCTATAGCTAATCTAGAATTTAGCAGTTTATAAAGGAGAACTTTTCTTTGTAAATTTCTTCTTTTAAAATACCCTTTACATTTCATGTTATACAAAAATAATTCCATAATTTTGAATGTCTCCACAAACACTCCCATAGTGTCTGAAGCTGTTTTACTGTCAGGCATGCTCAGCTTTCACTGGCTTGAGTTAGGGTGTCCCTGTTACTTCCATGACTATCCATTCTTGTCCATGAAATACCAAAATCTGGTTGCACTTGCAGTTACTTCATCATGATCATAGTAATTCTAGAGCCTGCCGTAGTAAAACATGCCTCTCCACTTTGCATTTTTTAATTAAAATACTGTAATATGTTCCTTGCCAGTAGCAGATCTTATTACGTATAAGTTACAACGGTCGATACATGTGCAGAAGCCTTTCAGCTTCAGAACCACAAAAGGGAGGGTGGATTTAGGATATGATTCTTGGCTTTAGAGTCTCGTGTTTTCCATGTCCTTCCTTTGGAGTACTTACTAGTGGATCTGAAGGAGCAAGGAACTGAACATATAATCAGTCATCCTATAAGCTTTGGTTGTAGCTGAGAGAGAAATTCAAGTTGCTTTGCCCTAATCTTTCTTTCAGGGGATGCATTTTGAACTCTGGGTTCTGCAACGACCTCTAGAGGTATTGAGTATGTGTAAGCTGTGTAAACAACATATGCTTAGCCCCTGCTGCAAACAATTCCTAGAATATGTTTCAGAATTCTAGTGCATTTGATGTTCTTCCTGACGTTTCGCCAGTCTCTGTGGGCATCTCACAGCCATAAATACTCAACTCCCAAACAAACTGCACCAGAGCACAGAGCGCCGTCCTCTGAAGATGCCGGCCACAGAGACTGGCGAAACGTCAGGAAGAACAACCTTCAGAACACGGCCAAAGAGCCCGAAAAACCCACAACAACCATTTGATATTTCTTCAGTTTTTGAAATTCTTTTTAATTTTGGTGTTAGTTTGTTTGCACAGACATGAAGCAAAGGAAAAAGACCATTTTTTTCTAAATGAACTGCTAAATCAGCATGGGAAAGATACCCAGCTAATTAGTTTAAATGCACATTAAATGTGTATGCCATTGTAAATAGAAATTGTTTAGTACTATTAAAGCATCTTCATGCATGGCCTTAAAATCTGTAACAGCATAAGCCTGCTAGCCAGACATTTTGCAGACCAGAATAATTTTATAATAGTGCTTCATTGGTTATCCAAGGTATGTTTTGAAAAATGGACTTCCCTATTTTGTTCATCACTTAAAAGTCAAATCAGTTAATGGCACTTGCTGTGTAGAACTTGGAAATCAAACTTCAACTAAAGAATGAAGCATTTTCATTTGTAAAAATGATTGTACAGCTTTCCCAAAGCAATATATGTTAGTTAGGATTAAAAGGTACAGCTAGTTAGAAATCAAATAGCAGTCATTCCAGTAGTGTATTCATTCTTGATTATATTTAATAGTGGATACCAATTAGAAGATATGCAGGTAGTGACATTTGACACAACCACATGTGCAGAACAAAACATAGAAGTCTTTCTCACACAGTCCCATACCGAGTTGCATCATTCTTAGCCAGGTTAGACTGAATCATAGAAAGTAGTTCCCATGTAGCCCCAGCTGCATCTACAGTTGTCTCAGGTTACATTAATTTATAGCAAACATGATCAGGTAATGCAGATGATACTGAACATAATATGCCATATTTTGTTAAATTTCAGGGTTTTTTATTGCTTTGCCTATGAATCTTTATTATGTTTTTATTCCATTATTTATTTTGCACATTTTTGCACATTTTCTTGCATTTCAGCTGAATAATAAATTTGACTTCTTTTCAGTGGAGGGCTTGTTTTCAAATTGCCAGACAAACCTCTAGTGATTTTCTCAACTTGGTGCATCAGTAAGTTGTGCTTTTTGTTTTGTTTTCGTCTTGTGTTTTTTTCCTGTTACGTGAATCTATGTCACACAATGGTTCTTAGGATAGTTAGAAACAAGTCTGCGAAAATCCAATACCGAAGATAAATGTGATAGTATTAAAAATGTCCTCCTGGAAAATAGCTGTAGCATACAGTTCTAGTACTGAATATTTGTGTACATAAAGCAAACCATAATTCAGGTTAATGTTTCATATTTAACAATGTATTTGTTAAAAGTAAGAAGATCAATAGTTTCCACATTATCTTTTTAGAAGTTCTGCAAAAAAGGAAAGTCATGTGTTCTAGACTTGAGACTGTTGTGTCTATAGGACCAGTCTTAGCCTATTTCTGTGTCTAGCAAAATGTTGTATATTAATGTAAAAATACTGTCAGAACCTGCTTTCTAATTAAATGATCTTAAAAGTTTGTTTTGTTTTAATGTGACAAAATTGCAATACTGTTGTTTCTTAGAAGTCCCAAGGGTATGGCAAAAATCCTCATGCATTTGAAAATAAATGGGACCATCTCCTTGAATTGGTATTTGCACCACCCCCTTTTGTTCTTTTTTATTATTAAAGGTTTTTATCACTAAACAAAACACTATTCTTCTACATTATTTGATGGGGATAAAAATGTGTTTGAAAATGCTTATTGTGGCTTCTAGAAGTAAGTTCTGTTTTTACATGTCTATATTTGGTCTAATTCTTTTTTCAAAAACTCCAGCCCTAGCACATTGTGTAGAAAGCACGACCTAAAATGAAAGGAAGTGCACAAACACACACCAAAGGCTTATTCGCACAGGTACCTATGGGAGGCCACTCGCCCTTGTTGCTTCCCAGCAACTTTATGACAAGCCAGTCAAGTGTACAACATGTTGTTGATTTGACTTTTCTTGCCTTAGAGCCAACAGGGACAAGAATTTGTTTCCCTGTAGTTAACATGTGATTGTATGACCCCATGAACTCAAAGCTTTCTGTCTTCTTCCCTTGTTTCTTGATCACTCAGATTCCATGAGCAGAAGTAACCAAATCCACAAACACGTGTGCTTACCATGGATAGAATGAAATGTGGTCAAAGACACCATGCCTATGTAATGTGTGTCCTTCAAAAAACTGGCACAAGGTTGGATCTGTACATACCTGTAGAAGTCCATGTGTGAACTTGCCGGTGTGTATACTCAGGCATGGGCACACACATTCATGTGCATACTTTTCCAAGACTTATTCCTCTTCAGCACTGGAGGCTCTTAGCTTTTGTTTCTTCTTTTTGTTGCTGGCAGAAGTGCCTAATAAAGTATTTACATACTAGAGATCCATACAGAATCAGCCATTCAGATTGAAGTTTTTGTGGTTCATACGTTTTGTACATATGCCTTAACTATGATTTATATGGTGTTGGCTGGTGGTGTACTCCAGAACAACACAACTGCCTACAAATGTGTGCAGTTTCTTTGAAAAGAAGCTGATCATTGAAGATTGTCACTTTTTTGGAGAGCATTCAGAATTATTGTGGCACCTTTTCACATCTGTACTGTAAATATCCACATTACTAAAAAGTATACCCAGCAATGAGCTTCATGCACAGTATGAAGAGCTGTTGAATCCATCCATCCTCCTGAAGAATGAGTGCACTTTAGCTACAAACGCTTACAGTGCTCAACTACATTAACTGAATGTTATGAATGTGAGTCACAGTTTATCCCTTTTAGAAAATGGCTGTTGTGGTTCTCCCAAGTATAGAGCTATTTGGACTCTTGGATTGGGTTGCTGGCCATGTACAAACTATAGCCTAACAAAATTAGAACTTATGGAATGTAGTATTTTGTTGTTTGTGGTTCATATAAAATTGTAAAACTACAATTTTGTTTTCATAATAAAAATTTAATAAGTATACAAACGTTGCCTTTTGCTGTTACTTTTTGCTTTTCACTGCGTTATTTTGGGACCTATCAGCTTCCACTAAAGTTTTACATAAACTTAATTAGCTTTTGCTATAGATTGTCCATGAAAAGTATTGTGTTAAAATGAAGTTGGTGAATATGTAGGGTGTAATAATGCTGCACATACTGTCGGCTGAGCTGCATTCTACCAAGATCCTTTAAAAGTGTGGCAAGTTTAGGACAGCCCATCCTTCTAGTAAGTACTCTGGATTCTTCTGGGCATACCTCCCGTCTGACAGCCAATCCACTGCACTCTCAGCTACAACAGCTTTATCAAATGATCAACAATAGCATTATGAAAAGCGTACAACAGTAATATAAGTATCAAACTGGTCCCATAAAATCCTATCACTAGTCTAAAGACCAGTGATGAGGGACTTGACTGAACTCCCAGGGAATTCATTCAATGTGGAGCCACCATTAAAAAGGCTACATACGTGGGATTTTGTACAGTGCCATAACCATGACACCTACGATATAACAACGCATAAGAATCCACACAGGCCAACAGTGCTTAATTCACAGGAATATCAGTCCCAAAGCCAGAGCAGCACCCAGGTTAATTTACAACTATATGGCTAGCTCTGCATCTTTTTAACCTATTTATTCTCCCCTCCTCCATAGGCTCCATCAACCTATACTGTATTTCCTAGATATGGAGGGCCAGTTTTAATGTGGGCTTACTGTGCAAGGGTCTGTGACCTGACATTTCATGGAAGGGAGATCTACTTGGCTGATAGCCTGTTAACATTCTGTGCTCACAACCAAGCTATAGCAAAGCTTAAAAGAAAATCTGGAATAATAGGACAGCAGGGCTCCCAACGTTTTTTATTGCCGAGTGCTTTCCATTTTATCTCTTTCAGTCTCTCTTTAACTTCCCACAGCAAGCAATCATCAGTCACCTCTCTCTATTCACAGGTAATCACTTGCTTCCTAGAATTGTTCTGGCAGCCTTTCAGAAATGAGGCTGGACCTAAAAGAAATCCCATATTGTTCATTTGCACGAGTCCAGTTTAATGGCTGTTATCAGAATAATTCATTCTAAGGAAAAGAGGAGTGCCATGGCCAATAGAGGCAGCAAGGAGAACAATTACACACAAATGCCACTATTTTTAGCTTTGGTTCAAGCATTCATAGTAAAAACTCAGTTGGCAGGTGATATTTCTGCTGTGGTGTAGCCTCTGGAGATACCCGCAGCCTTGCTTTTATGCTGAGCCCATTGAAACCTCAGGTTGTTTTGTGATCTCACTTGCTAATTTATAATGAAAATGGTCCAATAAAACCGATCCTGAACTAATGTAATGCTATTGTACATTGTAAATACCTATCACATGTACGGAGCCCTGATCTATGTATTACTGTGATGTGAGGTGCTTTTAATTGGTTATTGAACTGCAGAAAGAACATCCTGCACAGTTTTTTTTTTACTTTTACAAGGAACACTCTATATCAAGTGTTCATTCGGACTTAGTCCCAGGTATAAGTAAAGTTTGGTGAAGCAAACAGCACCTGTTCTCTGAAATGGTGAATTAGCACAGAGCTATTGAAAAGGACAACAAACCATTCAGAGTGTCTGGTTTACAACATGCCCCTTCAGTGGTTTTACAAAGGCTTCCCATGCAATACTCTGGACAAGGTCAAATACCATTGCATTAACTTAACAGAAACCTAACAGTGGTTTATCTGTGAAGATTTCTCAGTCATCTAGGTGAGGATATCTGGAAGCTGAGTCATGGCAACTGGACTTCTTTGTTATTAAATTGAAATGTTTTGACCACACCCACCAGAAAGACAACCATTAACAACCTGTGACATTGGGTGGAGAAGGACTGCAGAAGGATTTTCACTCGCCCTTCCCCATCCTTTGTCCATCT